ATTAAATAAGCAGAAGCAAAAGCGAACATATATCGGTAGCTCTTATCAACCATCTCTGATGCGTCTTAGCGTACATGACGATCATATGAAAGAAAGAGAGAAAGAGAGAGAAAGAGAGGAAGCACCGGCGAATTGCATTAAGTGCATTCCTCGATGAAAGGCGCCCACTCGTCCGAGCGGTTAGGAAAGAGAGAGAGGCATCCGAAAGAAAAATAATAATTAGAAGGCGCCTCGGACTAAGATACTAACTCGGCACCGTTCTAATGAGGCCAATTAGCACTTGATCCTACTTGGATAACGATCGAGCTACCGATCTAACTACGATCTAACTACGAGCAAACGTGTATTTCTCCTCTCTCGTTATATCATTCCGACGGAACATTTCTTTTTGCTAAAGTGCAATCGCATCACGTGCATCGATTTTTTAAAGCAAAATTTATCGTCGAAATCGTTGCTGCGGATATTCATATTATGGAACGGTCAATTAATTTTACAGCTAACGATTATTATGGCTCTTACACGCAGAGAATTCTATAATACAAATTATACTATAGGACGTTGTAGCCGAGGAACAGATCATTCTGCAGTAATTCACTATCTTTTCATTTAGCACATATGCTACATATATTTTGGGAACTGAAATTCACTTGATTTATTAGTATTCTCAAACGTTAACGATCACGATCAGTCGAGTGTTGAATTTGAGGATTTTCTGTTGCAAAAGGGAGAAACTTTGTTGCAAAATTGGTACATCAATGCGTACTGATAACAAAAATACATCATCACGCTAAGATCATGGTTACTATTACTGAATAAAAGAAGTGACCCGATAATGCATATTCAGGGTACGTAATCGCGCACCGACGCACTCACACACGCGACTGGCATGAGAATTACAGTAGCTCCATTCATTCCTCGTAACTCGATTAAGGGTCGGCCATACAACGCAATCGCTAACTCGTCTCCTGTAATGCTCCGATTTCTTTATTAGACGTTTCACCGTCGATGGCCAAAATCATTTTCGGTTTATCACGTTGACATTGTAAAGATGTCCCAAGACTATCATATATAATATCTCAATAATACATTCCGATGTTAAATTAGAGTCAAAAATCCTAATAAGAAAACATCAAAATCACGAGAATCACGAACAAATAAAGTCAATCTGTGTTTTTGAATAATTTAACTACTCGCGATTATTTGACGATTCATTATTTCTTATTAACTCGTACGATATTAACGGTATTAATTTTTATAATCCAACTGAGATTTTTGCCCTTTGTATTTCCTATTATGCTTATGGTAACAAAATGGCATGATTAGGCTCTGAACTGAAAATAGTTACGAAGGAACGCACGTCACCATCTGTCATTCGACGATGCATTCGACGCTCGTAGAAATAAGAAAGGAAAAATCGCGAGCGTTTCCTCGTGAGATAGGAGAAGGTTCTCTCCTCCACTTGTCGTTGATGCCGACTCGTGTTCGAGACCGGAGTGGCCTCTTGCCGACGAGAATAGCACCCTCGCAAAGCGCGAAGAGGAGACGGATTATAAATAGATCCGACCACCGACGATATCGCGGTCGGACGCATCCGTTGTTACTCCACGGATGGATAACGATTATTGCGATACGCCGATAATCATTCCAATCGACCGGTCGATCGATTCTTCCCATTGGCATTGTTACGCTGAAAAATCAAGCGATTAGGGGAGACCGGATCGAGCTGAGCCAAGGGTCATGCTTGGGCCAAAGGTCACGTTGACTATGCGTTTCGTTCATTTCTAATGCGTTTCTAATGCGACAGAAGCGACAGAAAAGGAATTGCAAAATGTACCTTTTAGAGTACAAATACCCTCTTCTACATCGCAAAAGAAGCATTTTGCGGTTTTCTTTTTATTTGTTTCTGCCGCAATGAGTCACGCATGAATGAAAGGCATGGCCAACATATGATCTTTGGACCAACTCAACCTAGTCTCCCCTAATTACCTCACTTTCCATGAATATCTTCCCTATATTCTAGGAAGAACATTTTGTAATTTTTTCCCCACTGATTGTTTCCTCAATAATAAATATAAAACAAAAGGCATGACCTTTGCGTCAATTTGACCCGGCTTCCCCTCACTTTGTTCGACATGAATGCCTCTCCTATATTCTAAAAGAGACATTTTACGATTTCTTCTCCGGCATTCCTCTCACAAGAAATTTATAAGCGAAACTCATGGCCGACAAATGACACTTGGACCAACTTGACCCCGTTGCATTTGCACACGAAATGATCCTGAGGAGCGACACACATACACAAACATACAGTAACCGATGTTGGACGAGTGGCGCCGGCCGCTCGTTTTATATCTGCTTTTTCGTGGCGCGATGCGACCGGATCGCCGCCGCCGACGACGAGGACGACGAAGACGAAGACAACGACCGGATTGATGTAATTGCGTGACTGACAGCTCGTCCAAAGTGACCGATCGGCTGTCAAGGGGCCCTCCGTCGCGTTCATAACGTATGTACGTGCGCGTATGTAGAAGAAGGCCGGATCCTATGGGACGAGCCACCAGCCACCGGATATTCTCTCACACACGCGGCCACATTGGCGGTAACATTTTCTTACGAGCGCGTTGCAGTCCGCCGCCGCGGCTGCAGCCATCGGAATGGCACTGACCCTGTCGGTCGGTCTCTGTCGGACTGTGAGGCCGATAATTTGCTACTCGCGCTTAACATCGACGACTAATTACGAGACCGACGTCTGCCTTAGCGTGCCATCCTCGCAGTGTTGGCCATTAATCGATTAAAAGGCTATTTTTGCCGCGATATAAATAATCAAAATTAATCAATCAATCCTATATGCAATCACGAATAATTTAATTGATTGATGAAATTAATTACTAATCAGTGTATAATCAATCGGATCTAAATTTGACTAATATAATGCTGGCAGTTCGGGAGAATTTTCTCCCGACCGGAAACTTTCTATGCGTAGAGTGACGTAACAGCCTCATAGAGGGCTCATACTATGAACTCTTTATTTACGCCTAAAATCGTTATTGGAAATTGTTTACATCAAACTGCTACGTTACTCTGTGCATGCGTAGAAAGTTTCCGGTCGGGAGAAAATTCGTCCCAGGACTAATAATTAATTTCGTCGATCAACTAAGCTCGTGATTTTACATATGACAATTGATTAATTTTGACCATTTATTTTTCGATTATTTTAATCAAGTGACATTTTAAATAACGCCCAATCATGCAGCTTCCGCGATTTTTACGTTACACTCGCTCACCGTCATGAAGTACTTGGTGCGTAACCATAAAAAATTGATATGATTTATTCATCCATTAAAAGTATACGCGATGCCCGACCCGAAAGAACTTCGACGAGAGCAACGTCGATCTCGTGGACCGCGACGACCGCTACCACCGTTAGTGTCCATCGTATCTGAAAGTACTGTCGCGTTATCTAGTTAATTAACGAGCCGTGATATTCAGCGGCCATTTCCTAGGCCGCGTTGTTCAAGAATCGTCATGGAACGCGCTCTCCTCTCGCGGCCCGAGCGAGGAAAACGAATCGCAAAGGCGTCACGGCGGAAGATCGATCTGGAATTAATGACGCGTGCATGTACGCGCTACTTCTGCTCGTGCGTGCAGCCGTGTCTTCTAAAGCGACGCCAGCTTCGCTTCCTAGCCGATAACGTGTGAACACATTCGGGAGCTCATTTTTTTGGCTATATACTTCACAGAATTATCGTTCCTATCGCTGCTCCGACTTCTGACTCTTATCGGCGGTTACAAAAAATGTTACGGCCCACAGATTATCGCCCACAATCTGCGTTGAAAAAAAGAGACGCAGTTATCGAGATATGATGTCTCCTTTTGAAAGAATGAAATACGACACGATATAGTCCTTTTTTCTGTTTCAGGGTTTTGGGGCTATCACAGGCAGGGTTATTGTCAAGCTGGTTTAGCAGCCGCGTTATCCAAGGTAGGTCAAAGATATTAAGTCTTTTCACTCGCTTTAAAGGTTTTCAAAGTTACCTAATAAAACGTTACCCTGTGACGTAAATAATATCAAGAAATAGCACAAAATTTGTCGTTTTTTCCCCCACGAGTATAAAAAAAGTTCTGATTTCCTGTAGAAGTTTTGATCCACGAAAAAAGAAGATTTCAACTAGTCATGGTTTGCTGAAAATGTATTTGTTGCTGCGACTAAAAATTCGCTGCAACTAAAACTTTTGCTACTACATTGATTTCATAGCTAAATATCATATACCTATTGGCAGCTATACTTTTGGATATCCATATATTATAATAAAATTTAGCATACAGATTCATGCTGCTGCAGCTAACTTCTTTTTCCGTCTTCACTGAATCAAACTTTGCTCATAAGAAAAGAGAGAACTCGGAACATACTCCAAGTATACACATATTCCGACATCCTGAATTTATGTATAAAGGCCTTCGTTTAGAACTTTCTTTTATCGGTAAAAACGCCTCAAAATGCGTTTATAAGATAATTTCGGAAAGCTTCGAAGTCACACTTAGAGAGACACTTTTATTCACAAAAGAGAGCTAAGAATCAGGATCACGAATCTGATAACACACACACGCGTAACTTGGCGGTGCAAGTGAAAGCACATCGCGCAAATGTAAATACAGTAAACCCCCGTGGAGCGTCTCGGAAGACTTAGAAGGCGACACGAGGGGGATCGGCGAGGGCCGAATATGGCCAGGAATGCGAATTCCTGCCTTACGCACCTCGTCGTTCCGGGCATTCGTATTCGTGCCATGACGCATCCGCGCATAGCGCGGAACCGAACGTCGGGCCTCTCTCGTATCCGATTGTCTTGTCCAAAGCTCGGTTCCTTGTCGACCGACGACGTTGGCCTATAGGCCGGCGCTCGCGCACCTTTTGCTCGCATTTTACCCGAGGCACATCTGCGGGTACGCCTACGGACGTTTGTTGCACCTGTACGATCCTCGCGCGTCGATACCTGCGTCATCCGCGCGGCCGGCGTTGCGATAAATATCGGCGACGATCGAGTCCCGTCGACAAATCGGCAGCCGCCGCAACTTTCACCCGAGCGTAACGATCGTTTCCGCTCAATCGCAAAAATTCCGTGACGATTACGATGATGTTTCCAAGACGCAGCACACACGTCAAAGAGCGTTTGGTATATGATCGCGTGTGATCTTGCGATCGCGAGCTAATCTTCTCTTTACGGTGAGAAATTTCACACGATAGATTCTTTCGTACTACTTCCGATGTAAAGAGTGACGTTATCGGGACGATTGCCCGCCAAAGAAATAGTAGGACAATTCCGCGGATACTCGGCTGGCTGGCTGGCTGGCTGGCTGGCTGGCTGGCTGGTTGGTTATCTCGCCACGGATGTATAATTCAGAATTGCGCGACTATATGGCAGATGTTTAATGCATGTCGCGAATCGTACCCGATTCTCCTAGCTCCGTTTCAGCATTCAATGTTAATACCACGCCTGCGCTCAATTCCGATCGCACCCGCTCGCTTATAAAGTGCATATTGCGAATGTGATAATTTCGGGTATACCTGATTGCTGCCCAGAGATCGACCTTCATTACGATACGGATTGCCAAGTACGAGTTATGTTTCTCTCTCTTTTCAAATTTCTTGGAGTGAAATCTCACTCGAGGAGTGCAGTGATCATTCGAATTCGAATAGTTTTTTCATTAATATAGAACAAATTCTCCGCTCTAAACAGTCGAGTGAATATTTCCCCTCGAAATTGAAATAGGAATCTGATATATCCCACTGTTGCAGAAATATATCCACTCTAATCGATTGAAACATTTGCTTATGCAGTCAGAATCCACTCTAGGCTTCAGTGAAACATTCGCATTTGCGTTTTCGAGTGACAGTATTTCCACTATCACCTCAAGTGGAAATATTGCCATTTTAGATTCGTTTTGTGTTAGATTGCCCTCCAAGAAATTTAGAAAGCTCCATACGCCAACTGCGAGTAAATTCGCATAGGTTTCTTGTTTTTAAGAGTTTTGTCAAATGATAAGTATAATTAGCAATAAGAATAAAAAGCTAATAAGAGTTAATAATAACATTACCGGATATTGGAAACAATAATTTAAATCTCAGCGGAAGGATATAATAATTAATTAGTATATTAAAGCCTTTAAATGACGTTTAACCTTTCGTATACACACTTATTTTTTCAACCTTCGCATGGGGTGGTTGCCACTCATGGCAATTTTCAAACAGCTGTATCTTTTAAAATATTTATGCTAAAATTCTGAATAAATTCATGGATTAACTTTAATGTTTATAGAAAGTATTTACATACTTTTGGTATTAAAATTGAAGAAATTTCATATTAACAAAATTATTGTATTTCGCGATTTAAAAAAAAAAATGAGTTTTTGCAAAAAAATTTGTAACTTTCGTAATTTTTATTATTTTTAAGTAAAAATTAATTAAATTAAATTAATTAAAAATAAATTTTAAGTAAAAATTTAGTATTTTATTGTTGAAATGTTTTTTTAAAGAAAAAAATGAATCATCTCTGGAAAAAGTATATTTACAATTTTATAAATACATACATGTATATACATATATGTATATACATATATTTACATTTGATAAATTTGATAGTTGAGCATACTAATGCATAAATTGAAGATGTATAATAGCGCTGAATTTTAGTTATAGGTGGTAACCACCCAGTATGAATACGAAGGGTTAAATAGAATTTCCTGCCGTCACTGTGATAACTGAAATTATTTAACGACAATCGAAACGGATAAATTTGGTTTCTCGCCCAATAAAGCCGTATTACCATCTAGCTCGCTGTTCTCTCTCTTTCTCTCTCCCTTCTCTCTCTTTTTCTCTTTCTCTCTCATCTCTTTTCGGGAAACAAACACCATTGTACGGCGGTCGGGATGCCGGGGAAGCCTCGCGTGCGCTAAATCCCCTACAGCGTGATTTAGAGGGCCTCTCGACGCCATCGAGCACACGATCGACCATCGATCTTCACCGATGAACCGCCGCTGCTGGTACCAAGCTCTGACTGCGCCTGGTACCACGACTTATCCACCCAACGATCTATATAAGATCGATCGATAGCCGATCGGTATCAATCGATTCGACTTGGCTCTCGGTCCAACTCCCTGCGCGCGCGACCCTCGATTCGACGGTTGAAATATATAAGTCCCCGGTATCTTCTCGTACGTAGCTATTTTTATTCCAGCCGTGCTTTCTCGTGGGGAGAAATCGTCCTGTGTTAAATTCGAGGTAAATCGATTGGCAAGATCTGCCTGATCTATGTTTGCACGAACAATCGGAGAAGATACAAGCACGATTAGGGAGAAAGGTAGATACATCGAGCACAGTGTGTCTTAGAGACTGTTTTATGACTGCTGAATTTTTCATTCCTCCTTACTGCACACGTGCTCTCTCTCTCTCTCTTTCTCTCTTTCTTTCTTTTTCTCTACCGAGCATTTAATTTCACCTATCACTGTGAACTCATCTCATAGGTACAAGAAATTTATTAAAGCTTCTGTCATATCATGATCGGTATAAAGGTTGAATTGAATATTATCGCCGTTTGAATTGAATATTATCATGAATTAGACATTACCCGCATAGAAATGAACGAATCAATACTCAATTATCAATCATCCGTTATCACTTTATTTTTGTTAACTTAAAAGTCCATTTTTCAATAGCAGTTTAAATTTACGTTTAAACTGTATTTCACAAGAATGTGTTTGACGTATTTAAATAGAGTTTAACTTAAATCTAAATTTAAACTATTGAAAAATTAACTTATTGAAAAATCAGTCCTAAGAATTGATAACATAAGTTTATTAACCTGAATCCAAGAATTAACCATTATCTCAAGAATTGCTATCGTTTTTTTCCTTTTCTTCTTTTTTTCTGACATATTGCTGTCAATAAAGAATATGAAAAGTAACGACTTTATCGCGACTTTATCTAATCTGGATGTCGAAACCCTCATAAGTCGAGGCACTCATCGTGGTCGGCGCGGAGATCACGGAGAAAGAAAGAAAGGGGAAGAAAATAGCTCAAAATTTTGTTGAACCGAAAACACTCGTTTATCTCGCACACATTAGCCGCTTCGCGTCTATCACGCGTACACATCGGCGTTCCCCGCTCGTAACACTTTCTTGCTTTGTCAGTGCCTCGCATATCGGCCCTTTCGACCCCATCCCCCCTCCCATTTCTTGCCGAACGACGGTGTACAATTCCCCGACAGCGTTCGAGGGGAATGCTGCACTTAACCGCAGCACACTTATAAGCACGTTTGTGCACGCAGTGCCTGTTGGCTGAAATTTCACCATGTCCCCCTCTCCCCCTTCTCCCCCCGTACGTATCTTAGGCCGCGCGCGCGGTTATATTTCAATCTCAGATGGGACCCCCGTATATACCTCCATCTCGGGGAACTCCTCCTGCCAACCCTTCGCTCGCCTGCAGCAACCCTTTTCGATCGGCGCCAGAACACAACTCGTGCCGGTCGTGTCTCGTGCGGCGGGCCCCGCGGTCCCCCGACCGCTATTGTCTCGGTTGCAAATTTTTCGCGTGTATAAGCACCGGGACCCATCCCTCTCCCTTCCACCCGCCGCTCCACGGGGGGTACACATCGTGTGGACTTACTCTCTTGTCTCCTCTATCCTGCCGGTACGGCGGTTCGCCGGGTTCTCCGCGCGTCACGCGAGCACTCCACGACAAATGCTCGTATTTGCTTACACTACCGTCCGGCTAATCCGTTCAGCAGCGTTCGCTGTAGTGACCGGTAAGACGGAGAAATTGCCCGACGCACGTTTCAACAGATCGATTATGCTACCGTGTCGCCTGTATTTGGGTGACGCGTGAGTTTTCGCCATCGGGGACCCCATCACTCTTTCGTGCGTGACGGTTTCATCTATCCAATTACGAATTATTTCATTAAATATTTAGGAATCAATATTCATCAATAT